GTAAAATCTAAATAAAAAACACTTTTAAAACGTTTTTTTTGTCCTCCAAGAATCTGTGGAAATACAGTTTCTGTTTGGTAAAAGTGTGCGACCCCGAGACATTCTTCATTTGATGTTGATGTTGTTGTTGTCGTCGTTGTTGTTGTTTTTAGGAAAGTGTGTGTGGTGTTGTCTTCGTTCAGCTGTTGAATGGTTAAACTCCCTTACACGTAAAAACAACCGACTGTATGTTTATCAAACTGGTGGTTGTAGAAATCACAGTACTGCACAGAAACAGGATACAGGCATTAGCATGTTGTTCTTATTCTGCAGCAAATATCTTGGGAAGGAGGTTGTGGCGGGAGAGCGGGTTGGACTTTGACACCGCAGACCGGCGTTTATGTTTTCAACAGCAGTTGAATGATGATCAATAATTTCCTTCAATGCTGCTTTTTTTTTCTTAATCATGAAGACCGTCTCCTAATGGACGCCAGATGAGCTAAAACACTCATTTCAATATGTCTGGAAGGCTCTAGGAGAAAGTCCAGTTTCATCATTTAGATATATGTTTGTAAAGACATGATGTAAAGGAACCTGTCCTCTTCTGTTCATCTGATTCCGTCACATCAGACTTTAATGTTCAGTCCATGTACAGGGACATACACATGTGTGAAGCAACACAAAAACATACTCGTCCTTTTTGATCACACACGGCTCATTGACGCTGTCTCTGACATTAAGACAGGCGAGCAGTGTTCAACACAATCCTAACTATTGATTCTAATCAATGCTAAACATTTAGTTTATTCTAACGTTATTTGCAGTGACGTGAGGCAAACACGATATTCTATAAGAAAAAAAAAATATAATGACTTCAAAACATGTTCAGCTCTTCTCTCGTCCAAAAGTCAGTCGTTGAAAAGTTTCTTCAGTGGCACTGAAATAAAGACAGCGTAGCTACGTCAGCGCTCCTCATTGAAACCAATGGACTTGCTGCTAGCTCCGAAAAGCTATGAAATGCTAACAGTTTAACTACAAGTTGTCGGGAGTGTTCTCTCTTCCAAAAAGAAAAAGAAGAAATGAAGAAATATAACATGTTGAACTCGGTTCGCAGACGGCAGCGTCACAGGTGACATCTTCCATTGTAGAGATGTGGGGGGTCCTTCACAGCGACCAAAATCCTCCTCCAAAATGTTAGGCAGCACTCAAGTTTCTTTTGTCCGGACAGTGTGAGGAGGTTTGTCCTGTACTTTCAGACGTCTTCGTCCGTGTCCCACCTCGAAGCCATGTCCTCCTTTGTCCGGGTTCCCGCTGTTTCCCCTCCAGTGTCTAAACCCGTTAGGACCAAACCGGTGCTAAGAGTAGATGGTGATGACCTCCCGACCTCCTCCGCGGACCAACAGGACACGATCTAATCCTTCCATCAGAACCTCCAAAAACTCCATATCTGAGAGACGCACTCTGGTTAAGGACCTGCTGCACACTGTAGAGACATGCTGGAAGATTTATTTTAAAAAAGAGTGGATGAATCTCAGTTTTAAAAACCTCCATTTAAAAAGTTAACGATTAAACACGGTCAGCTGTTTCCCTGTTTCCAGTCTTTATGCTAATCTAAGCTAACGTGGCTCTTACTTAAGTATATTTTCCAAATTTATTCTTTAATATCCTTTTGAAATGCCAACACTTTATTGCCTGATTGACAGAGCANTCAGAACCTCCAAAAACTCCATATCTGAGAGACGCACTCTGGTTAAGGACCTGCTGCACACTGTAGAGACATGCTGGAAGATTTATTTTAAAAAAGAGTGGATGAATCTCAGTTTTAAAAACCTAATCTAATCTAATCTAATCTAAGATAACGTGGCTCTTGCTTAAGTATATTTCCCAAATTTATCCTTTAATATCCTTTTAAAATGCCAACACTTTATTGCCTGATTGACAGAGCGAGTTACCCGTTGACTAAATGAGCAGCTGATTAGTTTAAAGGATACAGTTCTCGTCTCCTTTCTTGTTCTTCGGTGGTCCGGGCATGTTGAGCAGGACCAGGTCTGAATTACAGGATTTCTTGACGACCACCTCATTGAGCTTCACAGCCGTGTGCATCCTCCGCACGTTGGACTGGTTGCTAGGTGGAAAACCAGAGAGGCGTTAAAATAACAGCAGTGTCTCGCAAAGTCACAGCAGACACATGCAGCACTGACACGCATGCAAACTGAACTGCTGAGCATGCATCATCATGCACATGCAAACAAAAAGTGAGAAAGTAAAGTGACTTACAGATTCTCCCACTCACTTGAGGAAGAGAGCAAAAAAACAAAAAACATATTTAACATTAATGCAAAAATAGTTTGAGTTTAATCGTCACGTATCTTTACGTCGTTTTACAGGTGAGCTGGATCTACGTACGGTTTCATGTTAAACATGTCTTTAACTGCCATGGCCTCTCTCTGTCTGTTCCTCTCGTTGATCAGTTTGTCTTTGGTCCAGGTCATGTGGACGCGATCTGGCGTGGCTTTGTCGTTCATTGTGGAGTGAGAGGCCGTGTTGCGGTCGTGGATCAGCTGGGCCTGACAAAGGACAGGTGAGAGGACACAGAGACAGTTTGGTCGTATCGTTCATCCTGATTCTCTTCTCATGATCAAAGCACTGAGTCTCTCAAGATGAAGCTCAAGTTTTCACATGTTAACATGTCATTCAGGCAACAAACGCTATGTGTAAAAATACAATATCATTTTTGGATGTCGTGAGAGCCGTCAGGTGAGAGGCAGGCTGGTGATGAAAGTGAATGCAGGTTTGAAATGAAAACAGAAACACACACATACACACACACACACTGTCTTTGCAGAGTCGTTAATCAGCAAATTCAGACTAAGCGTCCTGTAAAACAAAAGAGGCAGTGGAAATAAGGAAGCTTCGGTCTAGACGGTGTGGGCCGAGGTGAAGAGCGACGAGCTTCATCCAGGCAGCTGCGTATTTCTTCTTTCACCTCGTATTTAAAGTTTAGTGATCCAGCTGTTTGGTGCAAAACTGCAGCTGAAATCAGCATCAAGAGACAAAACGCAAATCCAAACAATACTATATCACTTTCGTCCACTCTGTTAAAACCACTCCATAATCAGTCTCCGTGCAGAGAAGGGGCAGGAAGATTTTCAAATTAAAACACAGCTGCAGACAGAAATCCTGCAGGCGCTCACCGAGGACTTTGTCTTCCTCTAGTGGCAGCTGTTGGTTTGTGTTTAACAGCAGCATGTGTTTAAAGCACAGTGGAAGACAGAGGGATGAAGACGGTGCCATCCTCAGAAGATGAACCGCGAGGCTGAACATTAAACCTCTGAGTTCAGCTTCTGTTGACGGCGTGGATGGATTATGATGATGAGGAAGGATGGCGTGATGTAAAAAAAAAAAAAGAGGATGGAGCGATAACGCCATGGATACCGTGGCTACCTCATCCTCTGGTATGCACAGCATGTTGAGGGACGGGGCGTCAATGCGCGACGACTTCTTCCTCTTTATGGAGCCACGCGATACGTCTGTGATGCTCTGAATCTGAGCCCGTCGTCCAATCACAGCGCAGGGTTAGGAAGGGGGAAGAGTTGAAAGGTCAACAACAGCATGAAAAGAACCGTGAGGAGTCACGCTACACTTCCTGTATACAGTTTGTCAAAGCATCTCTGCGTCTCATTCGTTTTGCATTTTGGAAATGTCTGTTTGAACACATCACATCACAGCTCATATAAACACATCAGGAAATGAGTCACTGTACCTCTCTCTCCCTCTCAGTGCGGGACAGCTGCATCTGTTTGAGCATCTGAGACCTCTGCTCCATCACCAGCGTCTTCTCGTAGGTGAAGGCTGAGATATCGCTGTCGTGCTGGAGCGACACACACGGAGCGGTTTTTAATAACGCCGTCGTGCGATTTGTTTGCTGTACATTTACGTCGTCATCTTGACAATCAATTAACTTTCATGATGAATTAGAATCAGACGGGACTGACCATTTCCACCACCTCCACCACTGCATCCAGCCGTAGATGGTAGAGAAACATCTGGAGATCTTTCTTCATCTGGATGGAGTTGTCGTCCATCTGAGCCACCGTGAAGATTCGCATGTTGCACTTCCTCCACACCTTTCAGATTATTATTGATATTGAGTCCAAATGTGTTGCCTTTGTTAATACTCACAAAAAAAACCCCAATAAATAATTAAAAAGGAAAAAGGAAAATACAGTTGAGACAACAAACGCACCTTGTGCTGACTAAGTAAAAATGGCAGCAGCATGAGCAGTCCCCCATCGTGTACGATCCACCACACGTCAATGTTTCCCTGTTTCAGACGCTCCTGGTTGCTAGGGAAGTGGTCAATGTTCTTAGCAACCAGCAGAGCCTGATGTGCCGACGTTGTCTCTCTCACTGTTTCTGGAGGGAAAGAGATGAAATGTGGAAAACATTAAACAGAGTAAATTTACCAACCATTGCTAATGAAGTTGGTATAAAGAAAAGAGATTAAAATCCATCATTTTGTCTTGTAAAATAAATTCAAATGTGGGTATAATGTCTGGAATTATTATATTTTCATGTGACAACTTATTTGAATTGTCTTCTCTCACCACTGGAGAGCTACAGTTTATAATAAAGTGATTTACCTATGAAATTCCTCCTTGCAGAGGAGTCCCGGGCTTGTTTCCACCCTGCTGGCCAGGCCATCAGGACGGCATTGTGTTTCATTCCTCCCAGTCCTGCTGACTGGATGAGCAGAGAGAAACCGTCCCGCAGGTTGGATGAAACCACCACATGGGAGAAACCCTTGGTTCGCTCTTTGGCCATGGCAGCTTTCAAGTTCTGCAGGGGAGCGAACGGAGCGGCGAGGTTGGAGCATTCGATTGTATTATGTTAAACACACACACACGGTCTGTATTAAACACCTCTCCATCTGCTGTTCCCTCCTCTCTACCCGCTGAATGTCGGGATATAGTCGTAGACTTTAAACCCCCGGAGGATCCTACAGAGGACCGACCCAGCTGACCCAAGAACAAACCTGCTCTCCGGTCTTGGCGTCGTTCCCCCGGGTCATGTAGGTTCCCTCCAGGACCGAACAGACGATGGTCAGTCCCTTCCCCGCTTTGAGCTGTGTGGTGAATGACAGGAGACGAGGGTGTTTCACCGCCAGGTCGGAGTTCAGCTTACACAGCACCAACAGCTGAGGCCTGAGGAGGGAGAATTGGAAGAAGAAGAAGAAGAAGAAGAAGACAAAAATGAAAACATGGATTTCTTACATACTTAAGTAATAGGATTTTGAATGAATACCATTAGATTTTCTACAGTTTTGGTTGGAAGTATTTGTCTCTATTTTTGAGATATTATATTCCAAATGTTTGAAGTTATTGATTAATCAAGGAAATAGTGAACAGATTAATTGATAAAGACAATGAGACTGCAACTACTGCTTTATAGCATGTCAGAGAAAGTTTTTTTTTTTTTTCTTAAATCACAGCACACATACACGCTCACCTCCAGTTTTTGGTGTGCGGCGGTGCTTCCTCCAGCCGGATGAGAGCGTACCGCGCTGCATTCAAGGACAGGCCTCGGATACCGTCTCCCCACTCCTTCACTGCCCTGCAACCGGACAGGTCCAAGTCAGGAAGTCTCACTCCCCACCGCTCACTAATGGAGGCTTTAAAAGCAACTTTGAACTGATCTCTTCTCCTGAAAACGCCCTCGGACTCACCCTCTGTACTCAATGTACTTGTAGATACATCCAGCTATCACCATGGCAACCAGGGCGTAGTACCAGGAGGAGACAAACATAAGGGAGAGACACAGACTCATCCCTAAGAAGGACAGGGTCCTGCAGGATGAACACACACACACACACACACACACACACACACACACACACACACACACAGACTGTTGGTTGTTTATTGATCACAACACGTGAGTAGAGGCGACACAGTCTGGTTGGAGGCTTTTCTTACCAGTGATAGAACTTGAAGCGCGGCCTCCAGTTGGGCGTTCGGAGCAAAGTCTGGACAGCGCAGGCCAGGTTGACAAACAGGTAGCACATGAGGAAGAACCTGGCACCGATGACAAAAGAGGGAATTTTAATTACAGGCGGAAAACGAACAGGCAATTAGCATGTGGTGCAGAAGGTGCAGCAGCGTACATGGACAGGATGGGAGCCACGTCGTCCAGAGAAGCGATGAGGATTCCTATCTCGCAGATCCCGACCGTCAGCAGCAGAGCCCAGGTGGGTTCACCGTTCGTCTTCCCGTGACCAAAGACCTGAGCAAGTTACAGATGCAGAGGAAGAACAGTCTGTGCAGTGGGCTACTACATTGTGTTGTGCATGATGCTTGATGGATCTCTGTAACACCGACCTGCAGGAACGGGATGATGCCGTCCCGAGCGATGGCCTGCAACAGCCGGGGGGCGCCGGTGAGGCTCTGGAGCCCCGCCCCACAGCAGGAGAAAAAGGAGCCGATCACGATCACCCAGGGTGACGGCCAGGCCAGAATACCAATCACCGGGTTCTTCTTCACTGAGTAACCAAACCTGAAACACCCACAGACGTTACAGCCACCAAACAGTTCACCCATGTTCTGGTACAGCGTGGAAATGAAAGACTCCAACCGAAACCATAATTCAATTACAAACGCACGTACTTGTCTCTCAGCACCACTCCCTCAATACAGGCTCCAAACAGCACCACAAAGGAGATGTCTGACCGTGGCGTTAAGGTGGAAATACTCAATGCTGACACTCTAGTCTTGAAGACCACTTAGAGCGCTTTACACCGCAAGCCACATCCAGCGCTTTCCTGCCTCACTCACACATCGGGGGGTAATTTAGGGATTCAGTATCTCGGCCAAGGACGCTTTAGAACCCGCTCTACTTCCTGTTTCACAGCCAGTAACAGCCCGACCTTTGACATCGCAACACAGAATCTGTCAATCACAATCTTCAACAGAAGGATGACCATGCACACGCTTCTGAAACTGGTGTATACTGTATATAAATGTGCTAAACACTAACACACACACACACACACACACTATGACAGAGTTTGGAGGATACAGATGAAAGAGGTGGTGAGAATAGCCATGATGGTTCCTATTGGGATCGACCTCTGGGCGTCTCTGAGATCACCTGACCTGTTAGAACCAGCCATTATACCTGAAATAAAACACACACACACACACACACACGGTCCAGATTAAGCACAATGAAAACCTCTTGAATAATATCAGTGTGCTTTACATTGTGACGTCTCTTTGGCCTTTGGCGGAGCCGCCGTGCTGCTTCATCTACCTGTGACGGAGGGGAAGTAGATTCCCACCAGCAGAGTGAAGTAGGTGCTGATGTCATTGAAGACGTACGGCCTATGGACGTTTTTGGTGGTTTCCTGCTCCGGTACTGAAGGCTGGTTTTCCTTCTCTATGAACATACCAGCTGGACCGTAGTTGCCCCACAGGTTGTCTAACAGCAAGACAGAGGAAAAGCATCATCAGCTCATCGTCAGGTCCCGGCCTCTAGCTCGCAGTCTCTCCTGGATTTTGGCTCAGAATCACTTCCTGTCGTCCCTCTCACCTTTGATAACTCCGCTCCGAAGCCCAGGTATGGCCTGTATTTCCGTCAGGTTGTTTAAGGAGAAGTACTCGTCGCAGGTGGCGTTGCTGTGTTTACTGTCGCAGAAGAGGGGCCAGAGCTCGGTGGTCACCGTGAGGTTTTTCACTTCCTCCATCTTTGCGCACGTTTCAAACTTTTCGTTCTTCAGGGAGCGGTTCCCCAACAAACAGACGCTGTAGAGAGAGAGAGTGTGAGTGTGAACAGTTGTTTGCGTCAGCGCTCAGTGAGAAATGGTCATTTGTCTGTTGGTAACTCACTTGAACTCAGGCGGTTCGATGAGCGTCTTGATGACTCCGGCGTAAGTGGCCATGATAGACAGAACCACACAGGTCAGAAACACCAGAGCCAGTTTGTTCACGTACCTGCAGAGAGGAGGGGCGACAGATGTGAGTGTGTGTGTGTGTGTGTGTGTGTGTGTGTGTGTGTGTGTGTGTGTTTATGTGTGTGTGTAAACTTACTTCACCCCTACAAACACTACCAGCGCCATTATCACCAAGCAGCACGTGCCATAGATGCGCATATTGTTGAGCATTGCTGCGTTATCGCCTTCTTTAAATACCGTGGCTGTCGGGACGATGTACGTCTGGCGGTGGGGGAGACAGGGAGAAAAAAGAGAGTGAGCGTGTCATTGATCAGTAGCTACAGATGTCCTCGTCTCTGTTAGAGTGGTAACATACCAGCAGAATCTCTATGGTTCCCAGTATGTACAAGGATCCGGCGAAGGTGGTCCCCAGGTAGAAACAGAGTCCCACTGCGCCTCCAAACTCCGGACCCAAAGACCTGGAGATCATGTAGTACGAGCCGCCGGCTTCGGAGAAATAGAATCTCAGTTAGACTGCGACCAAATTCATTGCTTGGCTTTTAAACTTTATTTTTCATAGTTTTCTACATGTTTGTCTTTTTGGGGTTACCTCATGACCCCAGGTTGAGAGCGACTGCTTTACACAACAACGTAGCTCCCGTATCATTCCTTAATTCTTTCATAAATACCCAAATAATCAGTATTTTTATCCAATCTTTGTGGAAAAGGTAAACTGTATTTATTTATTTGCTTTTTGTCTTTGTAGTGTCATGATGCAATCACCATAATATATATCTACTTAAAGTTTAATAAGCTTGTTGCACTGCATTGCAAAGTATGCATTACTTTGCTAGCTGCAGGTAAGTCATGGAAAATAAAGACAAATAGTAAATGCAACATTTCATAACGTACCTGGGACAACTCCATTGGTCGCTATGGCGCTCATTGATATGGCTGTGAGCAAAGTCTGCGAGCGGAGAAAGAGGACAGATGTAGAGACGAAAGAGGTTGTGTTGTATTAGTTGTGCAAGAAGAACACCGTTTCAAAAATGGCTGTGTTTCTGATACTGTGTTTTTCATGCTGCAGGAGAGACTGGGGCGCTCCACGAAACAGATGACATCACGAGATATTGAAGCAACACACGAAGACATGAGTCAGGAAGTTAAAGCTCAGACTGAGTTTAAATGTGTTTGGCTAAGGTGTGTGCACAACTTCAACCGTGTATTGTAGAAGAGTGTTGTGAGCAGATTCACATCACATGAGTGCGGAGCATTTAAGTTCAAACTCTTCAAACAGTCAACTCTCTGTTTGGCCAGCTGGAGCTACACCGTATGAACTGGGGTTGTAAATGAGACTCAGATTTTCTGCTGCTCTCCGTCGTTAATCAACACACAGAGGAGGGCGTATTGATTGGCCTCCAGTTTGTTTGCTTTGCTGTAAATCTCAGACTCAACCTCAGCCATTGTTCAGTTCGAGCATGGAATACAGTTTCAACAAACATTAATCTTTCACAGTATCATTAACGCCAAATACTGTTTTTATTTTTTTATAATTGGACTTATATATAGAAATATTACAAGCTCAAAATGAATGAGGTTAAGAATGATGGAAGAAATCGTGGAGAACACTGTATAATATAATAGGGAGGAATTCAAATGTGTCTGCCTGTCTATTTGTTACTAAACCACATGAAATCGTGACTTATTTTAACAACTATTTCACGAGCGAGTCATGCTTCGTGTCACCAGCTGTGGCCGCTCTTACGGTTGGTTTTAAGGCCCGTGGGTTTTATAGCAGTTGCACCGTTAGCTGTTCCACTGACCTGAAACCTAATATTTACATGACCGTGTGATGTTGGGTTTTTAGGTGCTGCCTTTCATGTTACTGATCATTCTCTGTTGCGTGGAAATCTCAGTGTCTTAAATGTCAAGAAACCATATTTTGAGAAGCGAAAATAAGTGTCTGACCAGACAGGCGAGTTTAGGTTATCTCTCTCTCCTCAGATCTACTGTATTTTACATTATGGGGCTCTTCACCAAGTCACGTTTTTAAAATAAATACCAGATATTTCAAGAAAACAACGAATGAATGAACAAAAGATGATTTATCTTGCTCGGAGATTCTTTTTTCTTTCTCTTTAGTTTGCTGTGGCCAGTGATTTCACGGCATTAGCTCTGGGGGGCGTCCTAATAAACTAACTAGTTTAACACGGCATCACTGTCAGGAAGTCAGTATGTTTAACTGTTGGATTTATAAATTACTCACACAGACGCAGCACATGGAGACGATGGCGAAGGATCCCAGGATTCCCGCTGTGCCGACGATCCAGGTGAGACGCAGGAAGAGGATGACACCCAGGATGTTCTGCATGCAGGGCAGGTACACTCCGATGAAGGTTCCCATCTGGGGGACCTGGGGATGAGTAAACACACATAGATTTGCACACAAGTGAGAATCAGTGAGAATCAGCAGGGGAGGGAAAGTTAAAAGGGGAGGACGTCATCAATGAAACCCTCCTGCGTGTGTCCATGCTTTTCCCACCGCAGGAAAACCACTATGAGGGATTTGATGCATATGATCAAACCTGCACCATGATATATAATTTTAGCATTCTGCCTTTACTGAAGAGGTGGGAGTGGCTAGCAGCATGATGCATGTATTCATCATACTTATGATTTTTAAAACATGGTGAATAACACAGTAGATAGTGTAATAATGGCGCTAGTAAAAGGCTTAATTTGCATTTGCATTAATTTTACAAGCTTTTTAATAGTGGAGGGCTCTTATTTTGTAAGTTGGCTTGACTTTCATCATCAAACTTTTATAACCTGCTCTATCAGAACTTCCTTTAAACAGTTAAACTGTTTTTACGCAGTTCCGAAAGCAAAAGATTTTTGAATGAATCAAACTTAAAAATACTACTGGTACCACCTTAACCTATAGCTCAGGTAAAGTGTTTTCTATCAATATACAGCAGCTTTAGGTGTAAAGTCACATTATTGTGCTCAAGCTCCTTCATTAACATCCCTGTCTTCTATAATATTTACAGTACGCATCACACTGCATTGCACACACACACGTTTACCTCTATCCCCAAAAAACCAGAGTGTACTTACCATTTTTCTAGTTACAAACACTTTGTCCTGGGCTGTCTCCACTGCACTCAGTTCTCTGCCTAAATGCTGCGACACGCCTGACGTGGATTTCCAAATCTCCCACATCTTCTCCCTTTTTCCTCCTCTGTCTTTTCTGCTCTTCTTGACTCAGTGTTTACTCCCCCTCACTGTCGCTTCATTGTCTGTCTTGCTCTTTTTAAGTCTAAAGCCTCAGATGTCCCTCCTTGCGCTCTTCAAGAAAAAACACAGCCATCATTCAGGGGGGCGGGTGTGGGTAAAACATGATCAATGCTTCTATACAGAGCCACAGTCCAAGGTCCCCACTGGCTTTATACCAAAGACTCTGGGTGTTAAAAACTACAGCTAAACTACAGGGAAGGCAAGTGTTGTTGTAGCTGGAGCGTATTCTCAATGCTTTTCATATGATCTGACAGCAGCAGGTTAGCTTAGCTTAGCATAAAGACTGGAAACAGGGAGAAACTGACACTGATGATACATGGAGACGTACCAAATATTCCCACACATAAAAGATTTTATACTGTATTATCACATACAGTATAAACTCTTTCACACTATCTGACCCAGCCAGCCAGGAACCACCTCCACTCTCCGCCTCCAGCCGGCACTCAAAGACAGACCCACTTTTCTATGTCTGGATCTCTCTGGCTGAGGGCCGGGCTGAGGGCCAAGCTGAGGCCTTGTTTTTCAATCTAGCCAACCAGCGTATGAAGGTGACCGGCCTCCTCCACACACACCCTCTCAGTTCACAGCTGCACTTTTGTCTTTGAGCAAAAGAATCACGACCTTAACATGAATATTACTCATCAAGTATTTGAGGTTTCAGGTGTTTTTTTCCCACGCCAGGCAGCTATTTATTTACACCACACACAGGGCGAAGCACAAAGGAGATGTAGTTGCTCTTGTGACTTTGTTCAAAGGTTGATAACAACTGCAGTTATCGAGGTTCTCTCAAAGAAACAATATTTGTGATGTGTGAGCAGCACTGCTGTTATATGGGCCCACAGAGGACATTATGTAATTAATTAGGGAATGAACCTCACTTGTTTCAATGTGGATAGATTTTTAAAGGTCATAGTTACGTTCTGCGTCAAACTACCTTTGTCCTCTCTCTCTCTCTCTCTCTCTCTCTCTCTCTCTCTCTCTCTCTCTCTCTAACCCTCGGACTTGCTTCCACTTTTTCAGCTTGGTCTTATTTCCATTATTAGTAAAAAGGTTTGGTGTCAGTCTGCATTACATAATTTCCTGTTCATACAAAAGTAAAGTACTTTTTTTGGTATACGAATTGCAAATTAACCTATTATGGTAATTAGTATATTGGACATGGTGCAAACTATTAGTATGTACTATGACACAGCTTTGGTCTGGTGGCTCTCAGTTAGTTACACCCTGCAGTGGTATACATATAACTGTATGTATAAAAGTATTTGTAAAAACATAAAAGCTAATGAGCTCGATTGATAAGAAAAAGAATTGTTAAGAAAATAATCAGACGAGACAATGAACATAAAATAGAGGTGCATTAAATATTAAATATCAAGATTTTTCTTAGCGGTAATACTCATGTCATCACATACAAAATGGTGTTGTATGTATTTGCTGTGCAGCAGTGACACAGGACCAGCCAACAGAAGTACAAGATACTCTTCTGGAGCCCCTTGAGTTAGCAGTTTACTGTGTGTCTTTTGCACTACAGGCGATAAAACTTGAAAATCTACAAATTAGTTCATAATAAATCTCATAAGATGAAAGAGTTTTACCAAACGGCACATCTCTTCCTCACAATACAGTCCATTCTTCAGATATGTTTATGAACTGCTTCATCTCCTTGTGATATCATCCTAAAGATCAAAGTCTGCAGCAGACTGTATTTAAACTGTAAAAATTATTTTTGCTACAACACATACTGGGTCATACACTGCCGGTTATTATCAAGGCCTTTTTTCATTACAGTTTAACTATTTAATTTTTATAGAAACAATGAACTGATTTTTATAGAGACAATAGTTAATATTCAAACAAAGAAGCGGCTGAACAAAAAGCAAGCTGAGTTTAGAGAGTGTGATACTGGTATGTACATTTAAACAAAGACAATAAAAGAGAAGTTGAAAAGAGACATACCTGAAATCTCTAAATCTGCTGGAGGTGAGTGTGAAAAGTTCAACAATAGCAAAACCGTGCACTCTAAAGGGTTAAATGTCAGTGCAGGACTTAATTTTCTGGACTTTCCGGTCCTTCAAGTGCCATAAAATCTGCAGGAATTGGTCTCTAAAGCAAGAACATAGGCTGCCTTAAAAAAAAAAATCTAAACTAACAATCCCACCCAAAGATCACGTAGGCTCAAAACTTGTGTTTGTAAATATCATCAAAATTCATCCTCAGGCTCATAAGAGAAGTCTGTACCATGACTGTGACCCTCCTGACCCCGTCCTCCTCGGCCTCCTCGTGCTCACGAACACCCTGGGTCAGGTTGGTGTAGTTGGCCAACTTGTTGAGAAGAGATGACACCATGGGGTTACTGTCCATTTCCTCCTGCAGACAGGCAGAGGAAAACCAATGAAAATGTGATGTTTTTTAAATCTTACATTTCTGGAATTGGCTTTATATATTAATGTAGAATATTTTCCAGCCACTAAAAATAATTGACCTGTTATTAGTCAGTCATTTCAAACAATGTAATGATATAATCTTCCTGTACCACTGATCTTATGCAAAATGAATTTGCTTTAAATATATCGTGCATCAAATATTCTAATATTCATAAATAGTGTACATCTGGAGAGTTATCATTTTAGTCTTACCTCAAACAGGGCCATGTTCTTTCCTTCATAATAGTGTTCTCCATCATTGTCTGAGTTGAGGAATGGACTGGACTCTCTCTGATCCTCATCTTCTAGTGGGACACACAGGGAAAATACCCGTACTGTGAGACACGCACTACTGACAGAGCAAGAGGCGGCTGGATCACCAGGGATTGTTGTTGTGTAGCATCTGTAACAGCTGTAGCTGCAGGACTTGTTAGCAGTGGTGCATTAGCTCTTGTAGTGTTGTAGTAGTTGCGGTAGTGATAGTGGACAAGACATGTAAGGGTGGTTATGACACGAACATCCCTCTGCTGGTTACTCAATTATCAAAGCAGCATAAGAAAGTGTCAGATTGACTGTCTAAAAAAACACTCACAACACCCACAGAGGCAATGCTAGTTAGCAGTTAGCAAGGAAGTTAGATAATGTTTTGAATGCAAATAACTGGCGGTAGATGTATAATTAACACGATCAAGCTGGTTGGAAACTACCTGTTGAATGTTAAAACATACATTATGTTGTCAATTCACCAAATAGAACCAAATAACTAGAGAGCCAAGAGCTACGAAGCAGCACATCATGTGAAGCTAACGTTACAGCTGTCATTAGCTAGTTAGCTACCTTTCATTAGCTTCTGTCAAACTTGAAATTTCTTGGTGTTATCAGCAGAAATGCTGTTATCAGTAAATACAATTACACTTGTGAGTATTGGTGATTAATTTAAAATGTTTAAATGAATAAAAATTAAATTATATGTTGTTGTAGTTGACAAACTAGCTGCTGTAAGTGATTATTAGCCATATTTTCTTATGGAGACTTGTCCACTGGATAAGATTAGCAACATGATCAGAACCAGTGCTAGTGTTTTGACTTTGATTTTCTTTGTTATCGTCAGACAGCGGGCTCTTTACAACTCGTTAGCTAAAGCGGGCTATTCATTTGAAAATTCATATGGGTGCTGCCAAAAGATACCATGCTCATCATTCATCTGATTTAGTAAGTTTTGTTTTTGCCTGTGTGTAAAAGCAGCATGAAGTTTGGGACCGGTAAAACCATCCTCTCTCCGCCTGAGGGGCAGGGAGCGCTCCATAATCCAAACTTACTGCTTCCTCTCTGAGATCCAGCTCTGTTTCTGGGAAATCAAGAGACAAACTCTCAGTATTTTCGGCTGACAAATTAAGGTTCTGTTCACGGTTCAGCCTTTTCCTAAAATCATCTCTTGTGCACTCTTAAAAAGACAAAGCAGCACAGAGTAACATCAAGACGTGCTTTTCAAACTGCTTCTCAGTTTGGTTTGTCTTGCCCCCGGTAGTCATGCAGTGGTCTCATCCTGTTAGATATGGTATATTATCACACTAGGTCACACTGTTGTCAGCTCATCTTTATTGCCTTGATGAACTCAAGGTCTAACAGTGGTTCACAGGTCACTGAAGAGAAAGAAAACCTAGTGCACTGTAGATGCACGTGACGCGGTGAGGACGATAAATAAATCGTAGCGTGCATGGGGAAATCATTTGTCTTCGATGGCTGGTCTTTCTTACCCGAGCCCGATTGTCTGTCCTTTAAACAAACTGACATGTTTTATCCATCCTCAGCTGCTGATTCAACGGTTCTGAGAATAAGAATAACGTTAAGACACTGAACACTGGAAATAGGGAAGTAGGACAATGTGTCTATACCCTCTATTTGCTCAAATAGTCTCAACACTATCTCTGCTTGTGACACACCATGATGTAAGTAGATTAAGTCTAAAAGAACAAGATGTGACAGTGTCAGGAACACAGTAGTTTAACTTGTGATAACTTCCTGCACATTCAGGCCTTCTTTTCCTGGGATTACACTTCTAAATGTTAGCATTGGGTTTCAGCTCAGTTCAACAGTTAATGGTACAACTATTAAAACCAAGGACCTTAAAACCTCAAATCTTAATGAACCGCATTTCGGTTCGGCCTTCGTGATCTACGGCAGCTGCGAAGGGCCTTCACCTTCGTAGACCACATCCTCAGAAGGATGTGGCCCCTGATTTGGGACACAGCTAAGGTGTCATCCTTGACAGCACTTTACACTTTGAAGCCGACATGAATTACATCACCCGGGCTGCATTTTTTAATCAACACAAATGAATCGTTTACGTTGGTCGCTTACAACCCACAGCGCTGCTGTTCTTGTATAATCAGTCACATCTCACATTGATTACTGTAACTCTGTCCTCTCTGGTCTTCCTCACATACTCCTCCATAAACTTCAACTCTTTATATATTATATTTTGAGATTTTTTTCTACAGTTCCACAGGTTAGTCGCGCAACTAAATGCCTAACCCTTACCTAAACTTTTAGGCTCCAGCATTTTGGCCCCTTCAAAGCTGTCGGGCTCCACCAGTGGCCTCCTTTTTGGACCCAATAAATATATTAAATTCACTCCCCTCTCATGGTCCCTTGTAACAATGTCACAGTAGGGCTGGGTGATATGGCTAAAACTGATAAAAATTTCCATATCAGTTGATATCAGCATTTATCATGATAAATGATGTGATGATAAAATCTTTCAGGTTTAAAGGGCTGGTTTTCGCTCCTCAGTGAAAGTTGAAGAAAACCTGACAGTCAGCTGTGCTTTTAAACTGCTCTGTTTAGTCCGAACGATGATGGAACAGGTTTCTGTCTTTGATGGAACGTGTCTCAGTCACACACAGTTTTACCAAACCTTCCCGTGCAGTGATCACGTTAAACCAGCAGATGTCCACATTTCCTCATGCACAGCAGCACAGAGTCTCGGAGGCTGATGTTATCATTGAATGTTCCCTCCTGTGTTAAATCCTGCAGAATGATCCTGTTTGCCCAGATGAGAGCTGTGTATAGACATCCCTCCTCCCACATGAACTTAAAAAGTAATATCTGTCTGCAGTAGGGTGTTTTCCTTTTAGAGATAGCTGAGTCATAAAAGTTGCCTATCTTTTGTGTCTCTGGTGTTTTGTTGGTTTCCTTTGGTATAAAGCACGGAAAACCAGTTGAGTTGGTAAACATAATCTGTCTGTTGGTGGATGACACCATACAGGACTTACAGGGTATCGAAGTAAAGTTATCACGAGTCATGGAATGACAAAACTACGTTGTCCAATTAGTCAGTAGATTTGACGAGGCAAATCGCAGTTATTTAATGGGTTTAATAGAAGTAATAAAGATAAGGCAAAGGCCATAGAGTTAATGTACCATGTGACCAATCCATTACCCCAACCATGCACACGCCAACGAGCGAGTGAGTGTCAAACCGGCTTGTCGAGGCTTTACACAGGTAAACAGAAGTCACGAGGGGCTTCACTAAAAATAAACTTCCTTATGAATCACTGGTTGTGTTGGCAGTTAGCCCACCCACCCCCCCCACCCCACCCCACGAACACATGGGAACAATGCTGTAATGATTAACATCCTCTTCTGTTGTGCAGATGCTGTAAGTGCCTGGAAGTGTTCGGTGTTAAATGCCAAGAGGGAAAGGTCGTGGTGATCTAGGAATGACACTGATTTGAGGTGAGCATGCGGAAATGTTTTACCAAACACTTGATAATAAATAAACATTTCTTCAAGACTTGCAGAACCTAAACACCTAGCTCAGGGAGTTATGCTAGAGTACAAGCAGAAAGTGGGACAATACGAAACAGGACACTGCTTTGGAAAATGATGGTACAGGGATGTTATTGTTTATACAGATGGCATCTTGTCTGATCAGCACTGTGTGTGTGTGTGTGTGTGTGTGTGTCTTTTTGAGCACTGCAAGTTCTCTGTGTGCCGTCACGAAAGAAAGACATAAAGAATGAAAGGTGCTGCATTAAAGTCTTCATGTTCATTTGCCAGTAATCTTATTATGGGGACAGTTTGGTTTTTGAGGGAATCGTACTCATCAAATCCAGCTGACTCGTCACGAACCGCCCGTGAAAAACAGTCGTGTAATTCTTCTGTGGCTATGAATATAACTCATGTCATCTGGGTTAATTTACCCTGGGCTTGAGACATCACATTTTATGACAAAATCTGTCACAGGACCTGGAAAGCAAAATGAAACGTCTGGCTTAACGCATGCCTGGATCCTCAGCCTGAGTCTGGCCCATATCATACGGAGGATTTTATGTGCATGCGCCAGAATTGGTCCAGATTCGGGCCGTGGAACCGGGTGTATACTGGGCCGTAAGAAAACAAGCATGTGGGGATGTGTGGTGATCGAACGATATAGGTGTTTACCAGGCTGGGAGGGGTTTAACGAAAGCACCCTATTGAGTTGCATTGTGGGAATTGTAAGATCTATGTTGTCTAGTACACCCTCCACCTGCACGGACAGGCGATACTAAATCAAAAGACTGTAGTAGTGTGAACGTAGCATGGAGGGACTGACCTGCAAGCTCTAGGCTGAAAAGCTGTTTAACAGGCCCTCCAACTTGTGCCAGAGCCCGAGGTCTCACGGAGAAAGAGAAGCTCGCAGAGAGACGCTCTGGTCTGGAAAATCATTTACTTTTCACTTCCTCAGTTTGAGGAAGAAGAATGAGGAGAGGCAAGAGAAGGAGTCCGTGTCTATCTGAGACTCTCACACCTCCCCCAGCAGTGTGTGGTGGTGTAACGACACTGATTGATCAGTGTTTAAAGACAGCAGGGCGTTTGAGGACAAAACATTCACATTGTGTTTGGTCCAAATTACAAATACCAGCTATTTATTAATATTGACATTCATTTATCACACTGGATAAATAATGTAACTTGTTTATTATTTGCCAAGAAGCAGGCGTTTAAATGAACACATTCTCACTCACGTCACTCGGTCTGACGTCCCCATTCAGTCGGTTATTCCACATAATTAAATGAGGCTAAATCCAATCACAGAAAGAATGCTAGCTAAACTCCTGCTAAGGGTAACTAGCTTAGCAAGATTTCAGTAGCTGCCGTCTCAGCCTGTGACTCTGATGCAATACGATAAAAATAATAATAATAATAATAATTAACTTTATATGTATTAAATGTGAATAACTGATTTACCTCGTTGTACACAGACATATACCTAGAGGAACAGAGATGCATATAATGAAGATGGTGTGGAAACAACCAACTTTAAGTAACACAAGTGAAGATGGAGCAGAGAGATGAAATTGTGTGAAATTTCCCTGTGCATTCTGGGAAGATTTTTTTTTTTTTTTTTTTTTTACAAAGGCAGTATCTACAATTTTAAAAGGTATAAAATTAAACTTTTACAAAATTTTACAGTTTGCCAGCCAGCTTGAAAACTTAAAGCCTGTGTTTCACAGCTTCCCTGCGTCTCTAGCACTCTGTCACTGTAAGGTATGTACTTTTATAATAGACATCCAGCCCTGCACTACGACCATGATGAAGCAAAAGAGTCCAACCTTCAATCAGGGGTGGTAGTGAGTAACAACAACACACAGTTCCTCCTCCCTTCCACACTCATCAAGCTGCCCTGCAAGTTCTGGCTAGTTGACCGGTGTCACACCGGTGTAATGCATGTGCCTGCCATGACATGTATTACTGTGTCGGCGTGTTTCCGTTTGTACGTGTTTAATTATATTGAACTTGCACAATTTAATCCTTGACTTTATCATGTTGCGTGAGGCTCTGGCTCCTCCGTGACCCCGAACAGGAATAAGAGAGGCATGTTGACAAGTCTTACAGTGTACTCCTACCTGAGTGAGCTCCTTGTAAGTTCTCCTTATCATTTTCCTCCCCAAAGATTTTGCCCAGACTGACGGGTTTGCTTCCTCCAGCTGCATCGGCACTGTTGCTGCCGTCGTCCGCATCCTCCACTGGCACCACAGTGAAGGTGGGCATCTTGGCTCTTTACTTCCTGGTAAAAGAAAGTATTAAGAAGTCTCCGCTGGCGCCGACCAGGATGACACTAGCTGCTGAACTTTCACTCCCGCGGGGAAGAGATAAAAACAGTATATGAAGGGAGTCCGGTGGAAGAAATAGAGCCCTGTTAGGGCCCCAGTGAGGAAAGCTAAGGGTTCAGGTTTGACCCCAACATGGCACTCACTTTAAACCTGTTGTTTCCTTTCTTTTTGTAATGTGATCCAGTGGGCTCTAAACTCAGGGTGAAAGTGCCGCCTCCTGCACATGAGGCAGGCCAAAGTCCTCCAGTGTATACTATCACTCCTCTCTCTCTCTCTCTCTCTCTCTCTCTCCTTGTTCCTTTCCCTCCCTTTTCTCCCCACTGCTTCAAGACTATTGCCCCATGTGACCATCTATTTACCATATGAACAGAGCTGCAGCCCATACATGGAGAACCCTGCAGCTCCTCCCTCGGCTCTGACTGTCCTACTTCTCTCACTCACACCTTTGTAATGCCAAGAAGGCAGGTAAACAAACTCCAAAGTATCTTTAAAAAAAAAAGAATCCAGAGTATTTATAAAATCCACTTTGACTACGGAAGAATCAACTTTCTCATATTTAACGAGGAAAAACCCGACAAGTTCTTTTCTTAACTGTTCATTTGGCTTTGGTTTTCTCATCTCCCTTCAGACTGGTAGTTTCCGTGTATGGTTTGCTCCAGGTAAACAAAATGGGTGTTAACTTTCCCACAATGCATTATGGGTAGCAGTGCAATGCTGATGTTCAGCACAGAATGGCACCGCAGGCTGTCGTGCGTACACACATTGTGCCAGCAAAGGAAACATCTTGAGAACCTTGGACGCTAGCTTTCCTCTGTGTTCTGAGCAGCAGCATAGATTACAATGGACAGCCTGAAGGGGAAAAGCTTTTCGCTTTGAATAACAATGGACACAAGTAAACAAGAATTGTTTTCAGTTTGTGGGAATGATCATGCAAGGGGGAGTTCAGACATTTATCTTGATGAACTGTAAGCTTCCTTTAGAGAGGACACACAGCAGTGCAAGTAGCAGAGAAATGATGAATGTGTATTATTGAGTGTCGTCGTCAGTTAGCATTTGTTTCCTGTAGCATTTCTGTGTCACTCTTTAATATAGTGGCGTAGTGGTATATAATATGACTGGACTCTGTTTGAGAATGCATTTTCTTTGTTATTAGGATGTAACTTTAATGCAATAGAAAAGCACAGTGAAGCTTTATTTTCTTGCATCTTTCCTCTTTAGTTTAAGCTGCTTCACAGCATTGGCATATTACAGCAAATTGGTTTTCAATATGCAGCCCTGGACTCTGTAGTGAGTTTATTCAATGTAACAGATGCTTGACATAATAAAATGATTATACCTGAAGGTACCAGAAAATATCAACAAGTGACTTTTCTGCTGCAACTTTTCTTCTCGGTGGTTAAACCTTAGTCTGATGCCATGTGTTACTTTTCTTAGCTGTTTAAAAACTGTTCAAAATGATGTTATTTATTCTGCAGCCGAGACATCAACCCCAAAAAAGCAGCTCCCTGTTAGACAAATACATCACCTTCTAACCTGGCTAGCTTAATCTGCATTACCTGTTGTTAGCTTTGATTATGTTTACACAGAATGGCTTTGCTAAACCATTGTCTTAGTTTAGTTTATATTATCTTACCTTAACTTAATTTAGATTATCTTACTTTATATTACTGTATAATATAATAGAAATACCCCAAATTAAATTATTTGATTATCACAAATATCTGAAGGCAATTAATGAGGGCAATTGCATGAGGCAGGAATTTCTGTTTTCAAAGGGAATTTCAAAATCATGATTTGTCTTTTCCTTTATACAACAATTTTGAAAAACTAAAATGTAGCAAACGATCTCCATCTTTGAAACACAGGCTGCCCAGATGTTGTTGGCCAGATGTTGTTTTAAAAAGACTGAGTATTGTATTCATTCCCAGGCCTATATTTCAAAGCTGCTGAGCCTTGTAATAGTTATCTATGGAACATAACATGCCATTAAAAGTAGAAATTGATAAATAGGACTGCCAACTGGAACAGTAGTGAGAGAAAACATGGCTCATGTTCAACCTGCAGACGTACCCTCTCTCCAGCCCGCATGATATCAGACAATCTCCCAGCCACAAAAGCCACAAAAAGAAAACTGCTGTTTGCTCAGCTTTGTTTAGGAAGTGGTGAATAATGAAGCTGTAGATATTATTTTTCCTTCTCTTTTCTTCTCACCAGCTTTGCTTTTTAACACAGAAAAAGAGCTGAGTTTTTCACTCTTGCTAGCTTCACTTCAAGCTATTTATTTTATTATATTTTGTGTGTGAGCGGCTCATCTTGTTATGGATCTTAATATGATCCAGATTTTTTAGGTTTTTAAAGAAATTATAAATGTTTTTGTTTGTTTTTGTTCTCACACAGACAGTGCGGTCTGGTCGTGTAATGCCAGCAGAGGGTGCTGCAGGCTAAACATTTAAGCAACCAGCGGGGGACGAGTGCTTATAGCTTTTAGCAGTGGTTCACAGCAGGGGTTAATAATGAGCAGAAGTACATATTTGAGTAGTCTATAGACTTGTAATAACAACACCGTTTCCTTCATCAGTCCATACTTTGTGCTGGCCCTGACCTCTGACCTCACTATGAAATGCATGCATGCACGCTTGCTTATAGAAATCCTAGATGCAAAACCTCCACCGCCACGATGCATAAAAATGCCAAACATTTCCTTTGCTGGAATCGGCGTATCGTTTGGTGTGATATCACTTGGCCCGTGACTGAACTACCACAGCTTCTCCTTCCTGGACAAAACTGCCATTTTATCCTCCTCAGATGGCTTAAGTGTGAATGTTGGGGAAAAAAAAGTCAAAGCGAGAGAGGTAGAGGTGAAATCAAATCCCTTCAGCAAACAGCAAAAAGGTCAGTGCTGACGCAGACCCGGGAACAGGCTGCCCTCCCTCAAGACTATATTCTTAAGTGGCTAGATTCTATTTGTGGCATTTTCACCTGTTTACTGACTCCCCCTCTCGAAACCAGGTAGCTACGCAAACATACTGGAGGGTTTGGCCGACCTCTCATGTCATCACACGGGGGATAAATTTCAACTGCCTGCACTGTGCTGTCAGACCAAAAAAAAAAAAAAAAAAACGCAATATCTGGGCTGAGGGACTCATGTTTATCAGGGCCGGGGTGCGCTTTTTGTTCAGTCAGTTCACTGGCTTCAATTTCCTCATTTCGGAAATCATCTGATATGTGAATGCAACGTCATTGAAGTGCAGCACTCTGCTGGATAAAGTGAGACTGCAGGTTTTTTTGTGTTGAGATTGCACAGCATAACTTAGAGGCTATTAAAACAAGTGTCTGCCTCCACGTGCTGCTAGAACAGCTTCAGCGCTCCTTGGCTTTTATTCTGCGAGTCTCTGAACTCTGCTGGAGGGTGGGGGCATCATCTTTCTGTTTCTCTACTCATTTTTCTCAATTTGACGACACATGCTGCATTTACCTCACGACACAATGGAAGTGTTTCCGGGGGACACTAAAAAGCGATGAACCCGGCTGCGACAAAGCTTTTAACTTCACCAGTCATAAATTAGGCAATGAAAAACAAATACGTCATCACTTTAATTTAGATAGTGATAGTAAGAGAGACTGAGAGAGGAAAGTCAGGGAGACAGGGGCCACAGGTGGAGAACAACCCTGTTTCTATCGCTTCTTTTCTTCTACTGTAGTTAGCATGCTAACCAGCTAGCTGCGGCCCGGCCCAGTTGGCTTGTCTTGCTGACCCGAAGACAGCACTACTCAGAGGACGTAGTATAACCTCTCGCTGAAGCTCTTGGAAAGACTGATAGTCTAAGAAAAGCTGTTAATGCTAACGCTAGCTATGTAGCAATAGCAAAACTTACAAATAGCTCCTTTAACTGACACGCTGGAGAACAATTTGACTCATGCAGCCGTCTTATGTGAAAATGCTCGTGCTAAAGCAGCAGATGGTTCAAGTGCAAGAGATATTGAAAAGAGAGAAAAACTTTAAACATAAAAATCTTTCTGTTCATGTCCAGTGGCGAAAGCTTCTTGCATTCAGCCCTAGTTTCCTCACTGAACCTCTTTATGAGAGCATTTTTAAATATGCAGTATTTGTGAACAGTGCTGTGAAAACACCACTGTGGGCGTATAATCCTTATTTTAAAATTTTTAGCTTTTCATTTAATTATAAATTGGGTATTTTGGTCAAGTAGCACACTGTATAGCACTGAAGATCATATACAGTGCTTACATTGTCCCTATCCCTCATCTTTTTTTAGGGACATGCCCACTCTACATGCAGCAATGCCCAGAACACCCAGTAGTATTTTCATTTCTTTTCATATCCCACTTTCTCAGACTCTGTTGCCCTTTTCACGCGGGCTACACACAACACGCACTCTCATGAAAACTGGATGTTGTTACACTATAGTGAAAAAAACAAAACAAAACAAAAACAAATCAATGAATTAAGTATTAAGATGGAAAATAGTGTCTTATCGTCAGGAGTGTGTACTCAGCCTGCCGTAAGCGACAGGAGGGCACCAGGCGAGCGTGGCCGGCAGTCAGACAACTATTTTTGGTGCGAGCGGAAAATTTGGACGGGGATTCTATGGTGGTGGTGGGGGGCCAACAGTAGCCTAGAGGATCAGGGGGTAAGAAGAAAGTCTGTGAATCTTGTGAGACTGTGGGGAACAGTGACCCTCTGCCACACTCTGCTGGCACTGGAGGTCTGCATGCGGGCTACCAACAAAACAGGAGCGGAGGGGGAGAGGTGCCAAGGCCATAATTTGAGTTTGGGATCAGTATGTGTGTGTGAGTGTGTGTGAGTGTGTGTTTTTGGTGGGTGGGAGGAGTGGAGCTCTGGTGAAGCCAAAATTCACCATCCTCAAAATGTTTTCAAGCTGCAAAAAAAAAAAAAAAAAGTTAGGCTTTAAATGTTGTATTCAATGAGTGGGGGGAAGAAAAAACATGTCGATGTTTTAAGTCAGCTTTCTGAAATAACACAGATTGGACAGACCACTCCTCTAGTATCTTACTGTCACCGAGAGGTGGAGAAGAGACAGAGGAGAAAGGTTGGAGGCTGCTGGCAAAGTGAATGAAAGATGGAGGCAGAAGAAGTCTGTAGGTGGAAGATAAATAAAATAAAATAAAATATCTAAGGACTGTAAGAATCACGACCAGGGGCCGGAAAGACAGGAGGGGCAGGAGAAGCTTCTTTGAGCCGTCACCCTGCACGGGTCACAGGCCTA